TCTTTATTGTTTTTTTCCGTATTAAACAGATGCGGAAATATGTTTCATTCTATAAAGAAGAAGAATATTCTATACTACAGTTCTGCTCATTCTGATATCACATTTATTCATTGGAATTTACGATCGCTAAGCATGAATACGCCCTCTCGTGGGTATATTTTCAGACTTTTATTTACTAAGCTTTCATTTAGTTCTATCAGAAACATAGGCAGAATAGGATGCCATTTTTTTAGCAGCAAATAAGAAGCAGAATTTACCTAAAGAAAAGGCAGAAGAACTTGAAAAAAAATGACCCAGAACATTGGTAAATCTTTCTGACACAGCGCGAGCCCAACATTTGAGGAAAAATTTCCTTTCTATTTACCTTTCTATAATCAACAAACTTGCAACCGATAACTTCCGATTTTGTGATCGCATACTGTTACAGATGTGTGTATTACGGTAAAATAGTTTTTTTTTTTTTTTTTTGTTGTTGCTTGAATCCATTGCAAATTGAAGTGAGGTCAACATTGCGTACTTGAATTAATGTGTTTTCAGAACGTGCAGAACTATAATAGTTATATAATATTCTTCTTCTTCCTTATAGAATAGTATATATTTCGGAATCTATAGAATTTGGAAAATAACAATAAAGAATCATCCCAATTACTTAAAATTTGCGATCGCAACGAACTATAGGGAGCGTTGTTGTATGAGACGAATAGCTGCGATTTCTACTCGTATATGAACAGTCATTCAGTTGCTCTGGAAACATCTTAAATGTAACGTGTAGCAATGTAACGTTCCTTCTTTATTGTGGTATTTTAAATTTAAATAAGAGAAATGTTTGATATTCTTCCTTATGCAAGCGAAAACAAAATAGTGTCTCTCTTTTTTTTTAAGGAAGGAATATCCAAAACACATCGAAAAAATATTTGTAAATAAACAGAAAAAAATATGCATCTTATTAGAGTTAAAACTTAATGCCTGCGAAATCGTTTTACTAAATTTAATGAAGTAACGTGAAGGGCCTCTTTAAACTTTACATTCCATAGTTTTATGAATCATATTACTTCAAACATTAAAATATGCAAAAAGTATACATAAGCCTATAATTTCATATCATTTAATTTCACAAAGAGAGTTTGACAACAATTTTCATCAAAAAATTTTAAGTTTCAATAAAAATCATTATTTATGAACTAAAAAACGCAAAATAAAGAATGCTTACGAAAAAAAAACGATTCTAAGGATTCCTCAAATTAAAATAAAAAGCTTTCATGTTTTTTTAATTTGTATTATTCTTAATCGGACGTAGAAAACCATTCTATAAAGAACTATCATCAATTTAGAAGAATTTTTTTTTACAAGAAATTATAACACTTACCTGATTTGTAAATTCGGAGAATTCCAAAATAATATGTTCTTCATTTGAAAACTTTATTCTCAAATAATATAGTATATGTTACCGGCAAAGTATGAAATCCGCATTTTTTTTAATATTTTGAGGCATTACATATAATGCCTAAAAACTAGCCGGCAAAGTATGAACTGATTTATATTTCACACATTGCCTAGGCATTCTATATAATGCCGGATGCTATTTCAGCAAAGTATGAAGTAAACGTCCTGATGAGGTTATTACGTAAATGATGCGCATGTTACTGTGAATGACCGAAAACGGTGGTTGTTGACACTTTCACCGGTGAATGTTGACAATCACATAGTCGCTTTGGTGAATGCCCGAAGTATTTATTACATCCGATTTGATATTAATTTATTCGTGGATATAATTACATTTATTCGATATTTTAATACTTACTGATGATAGATTAGAAGAAACATCAGTGTTCGGAGTATCGGGCAAATATATACCCGGTAATGATACTTGACCTTAAAGAAATATCAGTGTAGGGTATACCGGGCAAATGTATACCGGGCAGTGGCATTGAACCTTAAAAAAAACATCAGTGTAGGATATACCGAGCAAATATATACCGGGCAATGGCACTTAACTAGACCTAGTATAGATTTCGGACATTTACCAAAGATCTAGTCATACTAGGTCTATTTAAGTGACACTGCCCTGTAAACATTTCCCCGGTATACCTTACACTGATATTTTTTTTACGGTCAAGTGCCGTTGCCCGGTATATATTTGCCCGGTATACCCTACACTGATGTTTTTTTACGGTCACGAGCCATTGCCCGGTATATATTTGCCCGGTATACCCTACACTGATGTTTTTTTAAGGTCAAGTGCCACTGCCCGGTATACATTTGCCCGGTATACCCTACACTGATGTTTTTTTAANGTCTAGTCATACTAGTTCGAGTTAAGTGCCATTGCCCGGTATACATTTGTCCGATACTCCAAACACTGATGTTTCTTCTAATCTATCGTCAATAAGTATTAAAATATCGAATAAACATAATTATATCCACGAATAAATTAATATCAAATTGGATGTAATAAATATTTCGGACATTCACCAAAGCTACAATGTGATTGTTAGCATTCACCGGTGAAAGTCAACAACCACCGATTTCGGTCATTCGCAGTAACATGCACATCATTTACATAATAACCTCATCAGGACGTTTATTTCATACTTTGTCTAAATAGCATCCGGTATTATATAGAATGCCTAGGCATTATATACAATGCCTAGGGAAAGTATGTAATACTTCTCATATTTCATGCTTAATGAAATAATAAAATAATTATTTGTTCAATGGAAAACGAAATATAATTTACTGAATTTTAAAAAGGCACTTGAAGGCAAGAAAAGTAGTAGCAGTACTACTGTTACAAATGTCGTGATGTATAATGCTTATAACTAAATAAATATTTCTTTTAATAATAATTGAACATAAAAATACTATTTACAATTCTAACAATTTTGTGATACTTTCTATTAGAGTCTGAGTCATGGAAGTAAAACTTAATACTGATGTGGATGCTATTTTCAATAAATGCAAACAATAACAATCTCGAGCTCTTTACCTGCTCTAGTTCCGGTTAGATAGTTTGCAGCTGCTTACTACAGCTTATTCTGCTATGAGATATTTTCAAACGGATAATTTTGTTTCCAATAAAGGAAATAAATTAGATAATTTCTGTGCTCAAATCTGCCATATTTCCTAAGATACTAATATTATTAAGTGATTCTGATGTGTTTGAAGTAGAAATTTGCTTTAGTTATTTATAGATATATAGAGATATATTTACGGATGGTGTTTTCAGTAGAAATGTAAACAATAACAATCTCGAGCTGTATGCCTGCCCTAGTTCCAGTTAGAAAGTTTGCAACTGCTAACTACATGTTATCATGCGAGGCGATATTTTGAAACGGATAGTTTGTTTTTAATAAAAGAAATAAATTAGATAATTTCTGAACTCAAATCTGCCGTATTTCACAAGATATTAATGTTATTATGTAATTATGGTGAGTTTGGTGAGTTTGAAGCGAAAATTTGTTTTAGTTATTTAGAGATATATTGTTAAAAGAGGTGACATGGTTGCTACATTTTGATTAACTCGCTTTTTTGGCAGTCTTGATATGGCCTCTTTCCATAAGTTTATTACTGTTTGTTCTTGTTGCAAGCTGTGCACCATCTTACGTTAGTGTCAATACTTTTACATTGTAAACACAAGTATTGTTAGCATTGTTAACACAAGTAATAAGTAATCAAGTACATTGTTTGCAGGAATCTCAAAACACAATGATGCCAAATGGCTTTAAAATACAACGGAAATAGTAACCCGGAAATTTAGGCGGTACCGAGCTTGCAGCGTTCCCTAGTATAGAAAACACCATCCATAGATATATTAAAAAAGATGACATGGTTGCCAGATTTTGAAAAATCTCTTTAGGCATTCCTGATTTGGCCTCTTTTCATCTGTTTATTATTGTTTGTTCTCGTTGCAAGCTGTGCACCATCTTACGCTAAAGTTAGCATATTGTTCGAGCAACAAGATTAAATTTATAAATTATAATTCTGGTTTAAATTTGAAAGTTGGTATATATTATTGAAAAGGTAAGAAGTGTTTTATAACCAGGGGCCCCCATCAGGGAGGAAGGTGGGCGCACGATGCGCCCACTTAAAGCTTGGGGGTAATTTTTACACTAAATAAAACGAATAGTTTTGGGGGGGGAGATTTAGACGAGAATTTTTTTTTTTTAAGTATATAAATAAAGGCAACTGACCATTTTCAGGCATACATAACTTGACTACAGGTGCANACAAGGTAAGAAGTGTTTTATAACGATTCTTTTTTCAAATGTTAGGTTTACATATTTATTATTGATCAAACCACGTGTTACTTCTACTTAAAACTACTATTTCACAATTAATGTTAAAATTATATACCCGTTATAATTTTAACACTGTTATAAATCGAGCATGCTATCAGCGAGCCTCACGTTATATTTGTTTATCTTGTAGAGTTGCACTTTCGTAATCTGGCAACTTCTATTTCTTGTACATTCTGAGTTTATTTTTTCTAATCGTTCTTTTCTTTTTATTTCTAAGTTCATATTAAATACTAATTTAAAATAGCTGTCACCTTCATTTTGGTAATATTTACAACAGGTTATGGGCTATTAGCAACGTTTTACTGCGTGGACAGCTGTTTTTGACGACGAGTATGAACTTTTGTATGCCAAATCGTGAGTAGTACTTCGTTTTTCATTAACGTTAGGGGTGAAGTGATTGCTCATTTTTGTGGATTAACAGTTTGGCGATGGTAGGAAAGAACTTTATACAAAGTTGGATGGTGCGTCCAACTGGACTGACTGGATGTTAGAAATTAACTCTTTATTCGTCCTTAATGACTGTGTTGGAATTTTGGATGGCTCAGTTGTAGAGCTGTGAAAGACACCAGTGGCGAGACGGTCAAAGCGCTCGTATCCTACACAAAGACGAATGCAAAAGCCGCAATAATTATTCGATCAAATGTATCGGCGGATATTTTAAATCTAATTCGTATGCATGGTAATTCTGCACGGGAAATACGGATGGAGTTGCTGAACAACTTCGACAAAGTGTCGAATGTAAAATTGGATACTCTTCTTCAACAATTTTTCACTTTCAAAATAGAAAAGGATGAAGACGTAATGAAGTCTCTCGCACGTTTGCGTACGTTATGGGTCGACTTGCAGCGGGAACAGGAGGCGAGCGGTGAAGGAAAGTTGCCTCAAAATCAGCTTATACCGCGCATATTATCGATTCTTCCGGATGACGAATACAGGGAGTTCAAGTCACAGTGGGACTCGATACCAAAAGACGAAAAGTCATCCGAGAGACTGATGGAACAAATAAAGATGCGCCTTCAAAGGCAAAGTGTATGCGTGAAAGAAGACGCTACAACAGCTTTTGTAACAAGCGGTGCAAGGCACGGTGCCAACGGAGAGAAGAAATGGAGGAAGGGGACAAGGTCCCAGAAGGCGAGAAAATCTCAACCTTCGACAACTACAGGTATGAGTAAACTTACTAAGGCCAATGATGGTGTGAAAAGCTTTCGTGGCTATTGTTTTCGGTGCAATAAGCCAGGGCACATGGGAAAATTTTGTCCTGATTTTCCAGACAAGCCGAAGATGTCGGGTAATAAAACCGAAACTTTTCTTACTCATTATATTGCTTTTATTTGCCAAAATGACAGTAGCCGAAATGTGTGGCTCAAAGACGATGGAGCTACAGCACACATCACAAATTCAGCCGAATATTTTAGGACGTATCGCCATTTTGACAAGCCAGTGGAAATCGTAGTTGGTAACAAACAGACAATACCAGCTTATGGCTGCGGAGAAATTGACATGTGCGCAACTGTTGGAACCCTTCAAAAGTCTATTGAGCTCAGTGATATATTATATGCACCAGACATCAGCAAAAATTTACTATCAGCGTCAAAGGCTATAAAGCGAGGAATTTCAAACTTCGGAGATTCGGATGACATGATTTGTCGTTTCTTTCGTAAAGAAAACCCGAAAAATGTACTTTTAGAAGATCCATGTTCATCTAGTGGACTCTTTGAATTACGTGCAAAACCGGTCAAGCCAGAAGGAGGTTCTGCTGCTTTAGCTTACCTGGTCGACGATGATGTAACAACACCTTTCCCAGATACAACAATGATGACAACGACAAAGTTGCCAAAAAGTTGGTTCGGACGCAAGTCGAAAATCGACAAGTTTCAAATTTTCGGATCAACTGCTTTTGTACATGTACCGGATGTAAACAGAAGTAAACTGGACGACAAGGCTCTAAAGGGTTATTTGGTTGGATATTGTGATTATGATGGCTATCGTGTTTTCATACCATCAAAGAATGACACAATCAAGAGCGCCAATGTGGTGTTCAACGAGCAGCAGATAGGTCCCACTTCCCTGTCTTCAGAAACTACTTCTAGTGCCAGTACATGAACTGGTATACAATTTGAAATTTCGGGTAGTTCTAATGGTACTGACTTACAGGAGGAGGATGATATTCGCAATGTAGAAGTTGAACCATCACAGATGACGATGCATGGATTGCGTGACAGATCAACTATACGCCGACCTCCCAGATTTGACGACTATGAAGTGCGCAGCAGCATTCAGAACTTGACAGAACCCCAATCACATGAAGAAGCTATGAAGTCTTCGATGCATGTCAACTGGAAACGAGCCATGGACGAATAGATGGCTTCTTAGAACAAGCATGGTACGGGGAAACTTGTTGAGCCACCTAAAGGAAGAAAGATTCTTGCAAATCGCTGGGTTTACAAAGTGAAGACTAACCCAGATGGCTCTATCGAAAGATTTAAGGCTCGATTAGTCGCGAAAGGATATACGCAGACGAAGGATATCGACTACGGGGAGACTTTTAGTCCAGTGTGTCGCTACGATACTATTCGAGCTCTAATTGCAACAGCATAAGGAGAAACTAAAATTATTTCAAATTGACGTAGAGACAGCTTTCCTTTATGGTGATTTGACTGAGGATATATACATGTATCAACCCGAAGGATATGATGACGGAAGTGGACGTATATGCAAGATGCTCCGACCTTTGTACGGTCTTAAACAAGCTGGTCGATGTTGGAATGCCAAGTTTACGGACGTGCTAAAGAAGCATGGTATGACCCAAAGCAAATCTGACCACTGCCTCTTCACTCGTAAAGACTCGGGACACAAGATGCTGATGGCGATTTATATTGATGATGGTATTGTTGCTGTACAAGACGAAGCATCATTCCTCACCTTTATGAACGAACTCAAGCAACATTTCAATCTTAGAGTGACAACCTTAAATTGTTTTCTTGGTCTACAAGTTGAACAGTTGAAGGACGGCTCAATCTTCTTGCACCAAGAAGCATTTACTAAAAAGATGCTAGAGCGTTATGGGGATGCTACTAAGACATCGCGCATTCCGGTGAAGAAGGCAAATTTGAAGGTTGAATATGAACTTCCGAATGCTGATGAGATGATAAAGATCAAGAAGGCAAATCCTCTTAGCAGTCACATTCCAAATAGATCAGCAGTAGGTAGCTTGCTTTATTTAGCGATGGGAACCCGACCTGACATTGCTTATGCAGTAAGTTTAGTATCTCGTAAATTGGACAATCCCACAGAAACTGATTGGGAAATTGTGCAGACTACATTCAGGTACCTTCGTACTACCGTTGCACATGGCATTGTATATAGCAGTACAGATGATAGAAGCCTTATGTTGTTTAGTGATGCAGATAACAACAGTTGTGCTGAAACTCGAAGATCTCGCACAGGTGTGATATCTTTCTACGGTGGAGGTGCAATTACTTGGAGAAGTAAATTGCAGGAGGCTATATCTAATTCAACAACAGAAGCAGAGTTTATGGCAGCAGCGGATGCGACAAAAGATCTGATATGGTTAAAGCGCCTGTTTGCCGAGATAGCCAACGACGTCTCATTACCAATCCTCCAGATTGATAATCAAAGTACCATCAAGTACATCAAAAATCCGATGTTTCACGCTCGCACTAAGCACATCGATCAAAGATACAAGTTTGTCCAAGATGAGTTTGCTAAAGGACATTTTGAACTAGGCTACGTCAGAAGTGATGAGCAACGAGCAGACATTCTGACGAAGGCACTTCCAGCACCTCAGTTTCATGCTCAAAAGACATTACTTGGT